TTATTTTGTTTTAGAAAACAAAGTTCTTGTTGAAAGACCCGATATTATAGTTACAATAGTTTGCACCTTTGCAAAATTTAGGAATAATTAAGATTTTTATACATAACTTAAGATGAATGCTGACACGGATTTATTTTTTTGAGATTAAAGTGTGTAGTTAATATAAATAAATGAAATTGATTCCTGAAATTTGCATTTCAAGTCGTTAACATAAACAAACAGTTATTACAACAAAAAACAGGCCCACAAAATAAGGATGGCGTCTTGCTAGGATCTCCGTTAGTTAAACAAAATTATTTTACGACTAATCAAGGCAAAACTTTACTGATAGCACCTTGAAGATACGTTTCATATAAATGTGCACATGACATCAGGTCATAAATGTCGTCATGGTCGCATTTATTTATATATTTTTTACCTTAGAGAGCCAAATTAGAAAATATTTTTGAATGACCTTTGCCTACTGTATAGTAAGTATACGAACCTCTTCTTCTCCACAATCTGGGCGCTGTTCAGCAACAATGCAGATGCGCTCATCGCGTAGGACACGCACTGAGAAAACGGCAATGCGGCCGCGGTAGATGAACTTCATGGGCTCTACGGCCAGCACCGTCGCGATTATATCATCCATGTTGTGCTTGCGGCCCGTCACCGTCATCAGGCCGTCGCGTGATCCGCATACAAACACCAATCCTAACACAATCGTAATCATTAGTCCAGTGTGCCGCGCAAGGCCACAGCCCCCTCTGCACCCCCCCTCTACGCCACTGCAACAGTCCACACTATTATTGATACAAAGATGGAACACAATATAGTATAATTCCTTCGATCTGACTGCCTTTTTTTTTAAAGAAATAAAAATAAGGTAAACGAAGTAGCAGGGGTCAACATTTATCTTCAGAAATTTATAACAAAAATAGAATGATTGTCGTTTTTCTAGTTCTACATAAACAATAAAAAGAAATTGTGAATAGGTATGCAGTCATTGTTAGTTTGTATGGGTGTTGTTTTGCTTATAGTTCATAAAGAGTCTACTATAGTTGTTATAACCTTCGTAGTTCACTCATTTCGTCTATTATATGGTAATATGTCCTTTTCATTAGTCAAGTATAGATGATTAAACGCTAAGGGCAACTAAATTACACTTCTGAAATTACTAACTTGGTCATTACAAAGTATGCAGTTTAGGCTTGCACAAATACTCAAACTCGAACATCAAACTCAAATTATTAACATTTTTTTCATTTGTTTCATAAAGTACCGCTTTTGCGCTGATTAATGCTATCAAGCATTAATCGTACTGCAAAAAATTGCCCTTCCAGCGATGACTAAATAACCAACTAACCGCCAGGTCCTAGGAATCCAAGCAGACCACTCCTGACGTAGAACTCCTCCCCGATCGGCTCCCCGTCGGCGTCAAGCGGACGCACTTCGAACACGTTCTTGGTCAAACCGGCCAAGCCGTAGTACCCGGTGCCGGTGGCTCCGGACAACACACAAATTTCTCCCACTTCGTCTGTCTTGCAGAGAAACGCTGGGCCCTCCATCTTCACTACCACTATTACACCTGTTGGGCAAGCGTGTTAGATATGAGGTACAGTGTTTCAAATAACCTCTAACATTATTTTGAACACTTTTTTGTAGGCCACATAATTGCTAATGTACGGACAACGGCACATCAGACTACACATTTTTGTTTGAAAATCGCCTCCAGTGCAACGGAACAAGATACGTCAATATGTAGCTTGATGTGCTGGCGTGTACAATACAAATATTTACATAGTTTCGGCAAAACATAAAATATGGAATCATTTGTTATAAATTAATGTACATGACCATGGCATTTGACCTTGGTGGCCTAACGATTTACATTGTAGGCGCTGATTGCAAGTTCGATACCCGGTAGAACCAATTTGGGAAATGAACTTTTCTAAATTGGTTCTGGTCTGGGTGTTCTGGGAAGTGCACCAGAGTGAATTCCGTTGCTCTGGTACTCAGAGTACAGGTAATTCCATAGTTTGAGACCGGTCAACTGGTGTGGTTGTCCGCCAAATTATTACATTATTATCTTCGATCAAATATATTGGTAGATACAATGTGTAGCCGCTCCAAAAGTGGCATCGTCGTGGGAAAGCAAAAATGCCTTCATTCGCTCTCATTCCCTTGGTAACCGCGCGCGAATCACGAATCACGAGGTTGAAGTGCGCAGTTAAAAATTGCAAAAACTACTCTACAATTATAGAAAAAAGATGGAGAATCGTACTTACAGCAGTTATATCATCTTCTTAAATTCCTTTTGTATTTAGGGCATTTTAATTGTATTTTTTAATCTTTTTTGTTATTTATCATCGTGAGCCATATACGCATCTATTTTACTCTCGCGGGCGCCGTTCATAAGCGAAACGAAACGGCACTTATGATGTGACGTGAGCGCAACATTAAGTGTCAAAATGATATAACTCACATTATACTGTATTCGTGTTTCACAATACCCTTTTTTTAGACATCTTGTTTCATTTCAGGAAGTCATTAAATTTGATTACCCTTTCCATCATTCAAGACATAAGGTGATGTGTAGAAATTTGCACAGATGTTTTACGACGCTGTGACTAATATTTTAAGACTAAATGGCCAAAACTGTAGCCAGGAAGCTTGGCATCCATTCCAAGGTGAGGCGTTAACGCACATCGTGAAAATTGCTTCAGCTCACAAGTCCGGTCGCATATGGAGTACCACCACCTACTACTACACCTACTGCTGCCACCTATAGGATGGTTCGGCTACATACCGACTGTTTACCTTAGATTCAATCGACAAATATGCAAAGAGGCTTATAGGTAATTCAAAATTAGTAGAGACGAAGTTGCAAAGCCTTGAGCCCGCCGTAAAGTTGCCTGCTTACCGGTATCCTACAGGATATAACACGGAGAGTGCGATGGAATTACACGATTTAACCGCCTTCGCCTTTTCATCGCCGGGGGATTAGACTGGGTTCCATCTCTGGGGGGCAATTCTCGATCTCCGTCCGACATCCGTCCAAAACAATTACTGTCAAATAAGTAATATTCGACAAAATTAAAAGACAAGTATCTAGTATGAAGCTTCATTCGCATCACGCGTCTTTTCATTTGGTCAAGTATTGCTTATTTGGCAGTAATTGTTTCGGACGGATGTCGGACGGAGATCGAGAGTAGACCCCCTGTTGTAGATTTTCCGAAGATTCGCACGTAGCGTTACGCTTCCACATTTATATGGGGAACGGCTATGGTGTGAAATTTCCTGCCTACACTTATTCCCCGAACGTTATAACTTGGGCCTTTTGAAGGCGAGACTCAATAGGTTTTATTTAGGTGTGCATGCTCCATCGTCGACCTCATCGTCACTTTCCACCAGGTGAGATAAAGGTCAAATGCGCACTTATATATCATAATATAAAAAATCTTATATCACAGTGAATTATATCACTACTTGCGAAATAACTAAAGAGGTATACACCTATACATCGAGGACATATCTATCCACCTATATAAGTAAACTTGACGCTAGGACGACATTCGTGTTTGATTATGTATGGAGTTGTGCATCTATCAATATATTTGATCGAAGATTATTTATTCATTATTATTTGTAAAAAAAACATTGGTCATAGGAATTCCAATTTTATTTTTAGTGATATAATTGTTTTCTCAGTATAGTGGTGAAAATATCCAATTGTAATGATAAAAATGAGTTGGTGCATTGAAATCGATTTGTGTGTTAATGTTTTATTTTCATAATACTTACACGATGGCATGACTTGTCCGCAATCTTGTAGCGTGAGTGAAGTAAGAGAGTTCTCGGCGTCAACGCGTACCACGCCGTAGGACAGGCCGGACATAGAGAGTACGCCGCGTCCGGCCGAGGCGCCACCGCGCCCAGCGCGACGTACGCACACAGTTAGCGACTCACTGCTGCATGCGCATGGGCAGATCGCATCGCCGCGGACTCCTAGAACAATTAATAGACATAGCCACTTTATTAATGTGCCATCGAGACGATAAGAAAAAGAATGACATATGGTGCCGAAACATGGACGCTTACCAAGTAAAGAGTGCATCGAATACGAGGTGCACAAAAGACATGCTCAGTATCACACTCATCGATAAAATTCGAAACACGGAAATTCGACGTCGGACGAAAGTGCAAGACGTTGGGGACCGTGTTATGCCTATAACACGGTCCTTACTTAGGGCCTCCTAAGTGGAGTTGGGCAGAAGATCTGGTTAAACGTGGTGATGGCCGCTGGAGTAAGGCTTTGACGGAGTGGTCACCAAGGACAGGCCAAAGAAGTCCGGGTCGCGTATATGGCTTTCCGTTTACAGTACGTCCCCCAAGGAGAGACGAGGTAGGTACGCTTTTCTAAGGGGCTAAACAATTGAAATACCGTACCCAGTATGTCCCCTCAAAGCGACGAATTAGATACGCCTTTCCATCTACCGTATAATATTAAGCCATTAAAACCCATATTTAGTACGTCCACTAGGGGATGAATTTAATTTTTTGTTATTATTATTATTTTCATCTCATTGTTATTATTATTTTCATTTCCTTATTATTATTATTATTAGTTTGTTTGCGATTTGTGTGTGTGATCGATCACGTAGAGCTGCCATGGCCGGGTCGGGCAGAAAATCAGGGTTGAAATCATTGCAAACTGATTTCGACACATTCCTGGGCTCGTGTCCGTCATACAAACATTATTCTTTCTATTTTGATTATTATTTTTTATTTTAAATAATAATTATTTTTGTATATTGTATTTATTATTGTATAAAAAAATATTTTTTTCTCATTTCTGTACATTATTATTTTTTGTTATGTGTGTGAAAATAAATGGTTTAAACTTGGACCAGAGACGCCCAGGACCGGAAAGTTTGGCAGGAGTGAAAGGAGGCCTATACCCAGCAATGGGTCATACAAGGCTGAAAATGATGATGATGAGGCACCTTATCACCATAAGCTATCGTTGTGGGAAGAGAGAGCATGCACACACTGACACATCTTTCGTTAATCCGTTTAGTACCATGGCAGCCCTAACTAAATATGCATAGAATCAGATGTTCCAAGGACACAAACTTCTTTTGGAATTGCATCGGAAAAAATCTTATAATAAAAGAAAAGAAAGGAGCTGCCCTGACTACGGAATTAACGTGCGTACCTAAACAAAAATTGAACGAACTAATGGCGGATTTCTTTAATGTCGTACCATAAATCTACCGATAAGTCATAACTGATGTAAGTGACTCTCTAATACTTCCATTTAATTTTGGAAATAAATTAAAGTAGTATATATTATCAATAATAATATTACTATCATACATTTATTTGCTTAAAACATGGTATAACAGGAGATGTAACAAGAGACAGTGTTAGTATAAACATGTTTCGCATATAATAAATAGCATGCAAATGTCTGGTTATATAATGTCAATTGACTACTATTGGCCGAGGGCCTTTGATTTGTGCAGAAAAATCGACACTTCTCCGAAGTGAGACAAGTGGTCACGAGCGATTGCGAGTTGGGACAAGCCACGTCAAACGAGCTCTATACACGTTAGCGCTTGCCTTCACTCGGTCAGCTAGGCGAGTGACACCGAACGATGGCAAGGCAAGGCAAATAGGCTGTCTATACCTTGGTATTAGACTTCAGCCGGCAACATTAGACCAACATGGTCTTTGTATTGCCGACTTTATAAAATAAGAATTTTTTGTAGTTAGAGTTGTCAGTGGGAAAAAATCGGAAACGAGTGGATAATTTTGTTTTCAGGAACTAAGAATGCCTAGTAAATAAGTATTTTTTAATCTAAATTAAATATAAAATTATTTACCAATAAACCTAATGATGGAATTGCATTATCATGTAATCTAGTTACATTCAAAGTTATGTTATAATTTGACTCTTCAAAATGAAGCGTATAAATGAAGATGGTCTTCGATTCAATATTTATACTCGGCACTATTATACGGCGGTATGATTTCCAACCATTCTTTTTTCTTTTTTGATTTGTAGGTAAATTTGGAATAGTAAAAATAATAATAAAAAGAAATAAAAAACCTCGTAGTGAATTATTTTAATAACAGAACATCGATAATATGTACGCTTCTAAGAACAACATTATCTCAAAATAATCGTTACAACAATCATCAAAATATACAAACAAACAGGCAATCTGAAGAAACCAAAGCAAAATTTGGCATGGTTTATGAACAAACTACTTAAATATATTTAATTACATGAGCTATTTGGGCCTTTGTGTGATTTATGGACAGAAAAATAACATGTGCCTGTACAATGTTACATTCAAATGCCGCATCCCGTAATACTGCAGCGACGAATTTTTATTAAAACTTAATTGTTCTCACTGTCAATATTTTTGTCCATTTTATTACAATACATGCGAATAATTCAATAAATTACTTGGAAAAACATTTGTTTTGGCATTTGATGTACTTCCCTTTGACAACCGTATCATGTACCTCATGTACTGCGAAACGGACACGGTTGGCATTTAAGATGACGTTACGTATTTTCGATTCCCGTGTTTGACACAGACCAATGTAATGCTATCTCTTTTGGCTTAAGACGGCACGCAATAGTTTAACAAAGACAATAACATGTTTATGTTTTCAACGTCGAAATGCATCATAAACATATAACGTCCGATTTATATATGTCAACATAACATGTCCTTTAGTTTCCATACTCTAAGGAAAAACTGTATTTATTTGTAATTAAGTTTATCTTTTACTATACAAAGCATAATTTTGTGTGATGGAGTTCTGAGACGATGAACTTATGTTTTAAGCATTTTTGACCTCAACTTGTTACAATATTACACCAATTTAAAACTGACTTCTACACTAACTAATACCATAACCATGAAGTACACATATTCAAGTATTTGTCATGTAAATTATACAATTTGAAACCTAATCAATACATATACAACGACAAGAGAAAGTCAACTCCGCCATTGATAATAAAGTTCAATCAATTTGACAAACCTTTGCTTTGGAATACGGAGAGGAATTGGTCGCAAGAGGAGAGCGACCAGGGATTGGCGCCGTCGGCGACAAGCAGCATACGCAGCGAGCTCAGGTTGATCTCCTTATGATCTCGCGTTGCCAGTAGCCCCCAGTGCAGGTCGCGGGACTTCACGATTGCCACCGATGCTCTGGTAACCAAGTCAATGGATTTTAGTAGTGACTAATAAATAACATACAATGTAAACTAACTAGTTATTTTTGGACCTTTAAAATGTTGCGCTATTATCTACTTTTGACTAGAGTTTATTTATTTACTTTTAGGACACAACAACAAGACATGAATTAAACATTACAAAATAGAAACGGTAATACAGTTATACAAAATTTTGTCTATATTGAAAGGTCGTCACGGCATGCAAATGTGGACACGACAAAATAATAAACAAGCTGATCCTATGAAATAAAAAAAATAGATATCTTAAACTAAACTTTAACTTACCAGGGCGACTTTTAGCTTACTAACGCACTTTCGTGAAACGCGCGATTGCATCGCTGCACTTGCGATTAATAGGCGATTGCATCGACGCAAACGCGCGACTGCGTCGGTGCAATCGCCTATAAATCCCAAGTGTAGCGATCGCAGTCGTGCGCTAGCAACGCGTTTGCATCGCTGCTATAAGTCGCCGTGTGTAACGGCTCTAAGATCAGGTCAAATAATTTGGCGGAAGGTAGACTGATTTGTAAGTTGTACAATATGAATGAATAAATAATATTCATTGTAACACTACTTTTGACTATTTGTGTTGTGAAAGGATTAAATAGGTTCTTTAAAATTCTCGTTGAAATTGTTGGTCACTAGAAGGCTGGCAGTTTTTTTTTTCGCCAAAGAGGTAAATTTAGTTATGTAAAGGGAAAACATTGTCAGGTTGCTGGATGTGAAGCTCCAGTTTGTAGCTTATTATTTATAGCGTTTCGACCATAGTCTGGTAAACTGGCCGACCGAATACAATTTGGGGACTTTACACGTTTCTCCGAGCTTGTGAACCTTTTTTCGATATACAGGATTCGTCAAGATATCAGCGTAAGCTATTGCTACTTAACATTCACAAATGTACGTAAATTAGAAATTGAAGATCTATTGTGCACGCCGCACCAGGTGTTCCGATTTTTTTTATCTAATAGGTACTTGGTTACAAAATCAAAGAAGCGATCGGAGTAGACAGAGCGCGCGAGTAACACTCCGCCTTTAATCCTGTAAACGTGTTCATGGTGATGACATCTAGCGGAACTTATAATAACTTCGAGAAAGTTAGTGTAGCTTACCATCAGGCGCCTGACTTGTTCGTCCCGTCACTTGATATTATAAAAAAAAACTTCGAGAAAGTGGCTTCTACTACTGGGCGTTTAGTGTTTTTATGTTTTACGTTAATTATAGCCACATATTCTTCGAGTATATCACCAGAAATAGAAACAAAATAAGGGCCATCAATCCCTAGCAACTCATCAGGTAAATGAGCCTTATATAACTTTTAAATGCCAACTCTCGTTTGCGCTGACATCACAAATTAGAAAGCTGAAATTCTGTATTTATTGTAATAAAGATAATATATCTAACCATGTTGCTGTTCCATTCGGTGGTGTGGGGAAGACAGGAAAACATTTAATTACAAAACAAACGGAATCAAATTTCATTGGTTATTAAATATGTAATTCTTCAATTTTCCTCCATTATAGCAAAGCTTAAGTTAAACTGGTCGATTTGAAGTTAAACAATTCATGACACCCGTCAATTGTTTCGAATTCGGACGGGCCAATCGGAGCGCAGTTGTCACAGTAATGATATGGCAGAATAGTTTTCAGACAAATTAAATGACATTTCGTCTCTATTTCTGGTTATATACTCGATGTTATAAGCAGGAAACAAAAGAGAAGAAGAAAAAATAAATTAATAAATTCAGGTGTTACTTTGCGGAAGTCCATGTTAATAAAAATAGAAGTAAATTAATTTCATAATGGAAGTAAAATAATGAGTAGAAAAAAGAAGATGGTAAGAGGCTGACCACAGCGACACATACAACCTCTACCAAGTACAGTAATATCATTATAATAGAATATAATACATTTCCACAAACGCGACTCACCTGTACTTGGTGATCATGTGCATCCAAGAGGCCGGGCTTACTTTCATCAGAGCGTACGGGATGAAGATCACATGCATCCCATTAAGAACGCTGACGAGAACCGCGTGCCACAAGCCCGTCTCGCGTTTGAAGTCCAGCACGCAGACCATGTGCTCTCCCTCCGTGTAGTTGCAAGCTACTGATAGCATGCGGCAATGGGCCAGCATAGATTGCCTACAAATAAACGTCATCATTATATACTGTAACTATAGCTTATGTGCGCTTTTAGGGATAACGAATGCTAATTAAAAGGTTTGTTTTTCAAGGTCAGTTTCAAAGTTCAATTCACAGAATATTTGACACTATAATTCAACTTTTTATATATTATATATTTCTCTTTTTTCTTTATTTATTATAGTTAAATGGGACCAATAAGTATTGAGGGTACCCTCTTTCCAACAAAAAAGAAACATCAAAACCGGTTGACAAATTAAAAAAAGAGCTATCGCGTAACATACTTACAAACAAAAATACATTCGAATTGAGAACCTCCTCCTATTTGCCTTAAAATTATTTTTGTTTATGTTTATGATATAGGTTACAATATACTTAATTAGTAGTGATAAGGTAAAAAAAATATTTACAATTTAGGGAGTCCCCACAAATATCAACGCAGAATCAGCTTGAGCTGGTCAAAGAGTTTTATGTCCTTGCAATAAAGGCGAAAAATATATGGCTCATTTCGCTTCCTCTCAGACCGACGCACAGTCTTTTTCGCTCTTATTACACGTCCACAAAGGTTTTTCTTAATTCATGCCCACGACCACAAATGTGGTGATTTTCTTATTAATACTGGCCGAAAAGTAGGAGAGTGAATCTTCTCGCGTTTACATTTTCCAAAGTTTGAAACCCATTAAATGTTTGTTTCATTTAACTTAACGTTACATTGGTTGGGTCGAGTGGAGTGTACGCGCGAAGCCTTAGAATGTAGCAGAGTTTGATTTCTAACTTGCCCACTTGAGAAAACACAATGAATAAAGAAAAGTCTGTAAATATAAATTAAATTGCTCGCTTTCAAGTTTGTGCTTCGTTCCTTCAAGGGTAATGAATGCATAGAACTATACCATGGCGGACAAAAATATACACCCAATGCAATGTTCTTATTTCTTATAATCACCTGGTCACAATAACGCCCATAGCAGATCCGTCAGCAGCGGAGGTGTGTTCAATGTGCGCGTGGCTGTCCTCGGCGGGACGAGGTGGGGGTATCCAGTCGCGCGGGGGGCGGGGCAGTTTCTCAGTGGACACCCATTGCAAACATGGCCAGCCGCGGAATGATACCACATCTCCCGATGATGTTTTTGGGAGTCCTGAAATATAGATTAAGAAAAAAGTCAAACACTTGAAACTCATTCAACGGTTTGCAATTAAAAAAAGAAATTACTTGTACAAATTATTTGTTACGATTTTTCTGTTTAAAAATATTACCGATAAACTTCTTTTCTCTTTGAGTATGTTATCGACATATCGGTGCAAAATTTACAGAAATGTGTCCACGAACTAAATTGAAAACTGCTTCACGTCTGTTATCTGACTGCTACAGAAATTCGAAGCCAAGAAACGCTGTTAAGTTCGAAGTATTACGAAACATTTTTATTTATTTAGCGCCGCTTAGAAATATAACATCGTAGCATATTCTAAAGAAATATAACTTCGTTTGCTTGGTAATCGAAAAAGTCTCAAGACACCGGACAAAATAAGGAAATATACAATTGAAGGAAAAGTACGTTTCAAATGCCATTTGTAATTTTATATACCATTTAAATTAATTGTTAGTCTTTAAGGACAGTGAACTTTGAATATCAAAACTTTTTTTTTTAGGTAGCCCCTTATACCCACTAAATCTCTGCGGTTAACCCCACCGCCAAAAAGAGGGGCCTCAGAATCCGGTTAGTTTAACTTCAAATTTGATTCTTCTAGTCTTACTGTTCGTAGAAGATCCAATTTCATATTCCTGGTCATAGTCAGATCTTTAAGATATATTTTAATGAGTCAAAATGATTTTTTACTAAAATTCATATAGCAAAAATGCACGTTTTAATAAAATGTGTTAATTTTAGTGAAGCATTACATATAATAGAACGATATTTCAAGTGTTATTTTCGCATAAATGCCAAAATAAAATGCAATTTCGAGATAGTCCGAAATTATCCGAAACGTCTTAAAACAGTTATGTGTCCAATTTATTTCTTTTTTAATAGTAGAAATAATTGTAAGCAATTAATCGCCGAATTTCACCGAGTCCATTCAATTTCACAAAAATATTGATATTTTGATTTTGATAGAGATGTTATACAAATGATACTAGCTCAACTGATGATTTTGGCTCATCTTTCGATGAAAGTTAATACAAATTTAAACTAGGAGTCTTTTTTTGGTTTGCTTCAGAATTTGGCTATTTAACTACAGGATATCAACAAGGGCGTTGATAATGTAACTACACTATAACAACAAATACAGGCTGTCATAGTGATCATTAAAAGTGAAATACTTATTATTTATATTAAATAAATGTTAAATGTTCTATCTGGAACTGAAAGCCAATAATCCAAAAAATACATCTCAACGACAACAGACTCATACAACATCAAATCAATTTCTCGTGAGAATCATTTAATATGGTTAAAGCATGTTTAGTTCACATCCCTATTTATGTTGCGATGACAAGTGTAAAAAGGTGCCTCTATTTTGTGACGACTACAGCGGAGTAAATTCACAAAAAAGAAATTAATGATATTAAAACATTGTGGTGCTCAATAAAGCCAATATTACAATCACTGTGTATTTTACACAAAATACTTATTTTAAATTGATCAAAAGGACGTCATAAAAAATATTGCTGTTTTGCATTTGGAGCTTTCGCACTGTATTTAATTCGCATAGCAATTCCATCCGTCAGTCTTTAAACGGCATAATTGATATCCTCGTACATTTCCAGCGCTGGCTTTTAGTCGTATCATAATATTGTGCAAATTGAAATGTTCATAATCAATTGCTTTAAACATATGAAAGTAACATGATATAATTACGCCTCCGTTTTGATTGTATACACACATACAAACGTAGAATTTGGTTAATTCCCATATTGATATCGCGTTGCTTCGCCATTAAACACGGTCGCTAAAGTGTTGTATTCGTAACTTTGTTACAATTGACTTCACACGCTACAAACTTACGCATAATTAGAAAGATGTAAGTAATACACGAATTCGCAAAAATTGCAAATGTACTAATAGATCATGTTCTCACCTTTGAGGCAAGCGTCTGAGGTCAACGCATATTGGATGCCGCAGGAGCCAAGCAAGAAACCGACTTGTTGCAATCCCGCGTCTCGGCGAGTCAGCGGAACCTCAATGGGAACCGGCACCACACCAGCTTGCAGGCACCCGTAGAACGCGCACATAAAGTTGATGGGGTCGTTGTTAGGATACACCAGGGCCACGCGGTCCCCTGGCTTGATAGAACTGTCACCAGTCAGTGGACCCCCGCTGTTGTTCTTCGAGGTGAAAGTCTTGTTGAGGAGAGCATGAGCGATTTTGAAAGATCGACTTAACAGCTTGCCTGAAACGTCAAACTGTGTTAGTATAGCAGGTGATCGAGGAGTAAAAAGTGACCGGAAAGTATTTGATAAAATTAACGAATTAATATTACCGTAAGTGAGAGAATTGCTAAGCTTCCCATTCGGATCGAGCACAGTTGCAACGTTGGCCTTGAAAGAAGCAGTTCCGTATCTCTGCAGAGCTCCCTCGAGGTTCCTCGGCAGGCCGGCAGGGACCACGAGTTGCTCACCAACTGCCGGAGTCATGGTACCTCCTTCGGGTTTAGGCGCATTTGGATCTTTCGGGTTAGCAGCAATCTCGAGTTCGATGTCATCGTCTTCGTAGAATTCAGGCAAGGGCCGACGCTTCGGGCGCTTCAGGGTGTTCAGCAATTGTTGGATTTTAGCTGAGACCTAAATACAGAAACCGCATTCAAACAACTGTTGCACTACACAACTTTTTTGTAGGAAATGGTAACCTCAACACGCCTTAGGAACTGCTCTTCTGGTGTTGAATTTCCGTTTTGTACCTGGTGACTGATGAGTTAAATGTGAATTAATAATTTGTATGTTTTTGCCAATTACACTTTGTGTTAGACGTTTGTCGATTGTTGCAGTGTTTATAAATTAATGTTACAAATTCGGGCGATCTATTCTGGTCGCACAAGCGTAGACACACCTAATGTAAGATGCATTCTGATTTAAAGAAATGAAATGAATCGCACAAACGTGTCAATTACTTTTTCGTGGTTACAATTACCTTCATTAATAATCTATAATTTTATTATATTGCGTCTCTGACGCTAACGTAAATAAGAAGTCGCAATTATGTACAGCCAGCAGCACCATACCTTTTCTAGTTGTTCTACTGCTAAAATAGGTTATTAGTACATAGTGCTCGTGGTTCGTACCTTGAGCTGAGGTTGTGGCCTCACCTTCCAGCGGCCGGTACCGGTGCCGGTGTCCTCAGTCGGCGCGTAGCACTGCACGCGGTCCGCGATCTGGGCGCCCCCACGACGTGCGCCTGCGCTGGTGTGGGTCACATCTGGCTGAATGTCTGTTTGAACAAATAAAACATTACAGAAATTTGTCGATATTAAAAAAAAACAATCTTAATGTTAGCCGGGACAATATTGGCCGGATATGTCTCGTTCGGCGTGAACGCGCCTTGGACGTTTACTTCAGTAAATGTAGACGCCTAAGCGTTCACCAGTCTGGTCCCGGCTATTCTGACCACAAAGGTATACTCACAAGCCGGAAAATTAGTAGAGATATCGTTTATATCGATCTGGGTATGGTCGCGGGGAACGACGTACTTGGCGTGTTTTTCGCGTGGTTGTGGGTGGGGGTGGGGGTGTTGGTATTGGTGTGGTAGAGGCAGAGGGTGTGGATGAGATCGTGAATGTGGCGCGTTTACGCGGCGAGCGGGTGGAGAGTTCAATTCCGGCGGAGGTGGAAGGTCTGCGTCCCCAGCGCAAGAATCGTCGTCTGAGCTGGAAGCTGTCGACAAATAAACGCCATATTAAACTCAAGCGGGCTTTAACCACCTTCACCTTTAGTCAGTTATATGAAATCGATTTACGAACTTACAGCAGTCGTGACGTTCGCGATCTGGGCTCTTCGACATCATCGACGTCCGCTTGGATGGCATTGGCATCGAAGGCTTCGGGCGATTCTGCATCTCGGCGAGTGCTTGCTGCACTGCTTCTTGCCGAACTTCTGTGATACACAATGCCACTGTTACATATGGGTCTTACTTGCAGTTTACACTATGCAACCTATGCAACTTTTCCGACTTCCATCATGTTTTTAAGAAAGTTATACGCAATTTGCCTTTTACATACAGAGTCTAAATAACACCGAAAGTCGGATCTAGAGGTAATGAGTTGCTTAGCGTAAACGCCAAATTGACAAAAAACCTGGTTGTATAGTTAAACTTTCACGCATCTGCATCAATATGATTTTGGTGCTAAAACGAGGGAATATAAAACCCAATCGGCAAAAATTCATTGAGACTATAATTTGAATCTGAAAAAAAATTTAGAAAAATTCAAATATTCGCAAATACTCAAATGTTTAACTGAAACAACTTTCAGTTGTACAGGAATGAAGTTCAAATTCTATTACAGGTATTTCATTCATCAAACGAATAACGCTCGTAGGCAATAGTACTAAAGAGAGTATATTGTACAGATATTGATCTTTTCTATTGAGTCGTTCGCTTGCAGAGTCCTTAAATATTATCATGCATATCAGTAAAAGAGCTCGACTCAGTGAATCTACTCTCGTTCTCGTTTGGCATTGCATTCGAAACAAAGAATGAAAAATTTGCATTATTTGGCCACATCGAAATACATGATCAAGTATGAAGCTTTATTCCCATCACACGTTTTTTAATTTTGTTGAGATCTATTTGATAATAATTGTTTCGGATGTATGTCCGACGAGAACGGGAGTACACCACCAGCCACGAATCTCCAAATATAAAGATTTTGGCATTTAGACTGTACTCGTATAGTAAGTACATTTTAAGAAACATGCATTCGTAAACCACATTTACTAATTTATCACCAATCTTCCAACAGTCATCATAGCCAATGTTTTTGTACTTGCACATATATATATAATAACTTAACTAATCAATTATAGCCAAAAAAAAGTGAACAAACATGCACCGAGTATCACGTTAAATATAACATGCAGTGAAAATATTAGCATTACAATCCGCGGATGAATGCCAGGATATAATAAATAGAACACAAACCCACAGAGTTGGCATAAAAATAACTGCAAGGGTTTCATAAGCGTATTCCGAATAAATTTTTTAATTTGCGTGTATTATTTAATCACTCGTATAGTATAAGGTCTACTTGTTGTTCTAACCACATTCTAACCTTAGTTTATAAGAAAAAAATAGCATTAATAACACAACTGATTTAAAAAAATTACGTTTATACTTTAGGTTTTTGAAATATTATATTTTACTGCAATAGAATCAGTCCATCAAGCCAAACCTTCAACAATTTCCTCATTCGCTGATTTTAAAGAATGTAAATAGAATACTTTCCTATTATTATTATTATTTATTTGTTGAGCATTGGCTATAGGGCCATCAGCTAAAACAAGCAACAAGCAATCAAGAAACTCAAAAGGTAATAATAATTAAACAAAAAATTTATTCGTGAAAAAACTAAAACTACAAAAACCCACCATTTTCTAAATTGTAGAATACTTTATTTTTTAAACATTTTCTTTTCAGGTAATAGGATCCTGTCGAAAAACAAAAAAAAAACAAACGTTTTTGTCAATTAAATGTAAGGTAATTTGACATAGAAATGTACCAACAGCTTTCAACGCCAATAAGTACCATCAGTTTGCAACCATATTAAACTAACAACTTGAGTGGCATTAATTTCATTTTACGCAAAAGACGCGATACGACCGACGTCGAGTTGCGGATACCAGCCTGTTAAACCATAATAATTGTAATGAAATGACATTGGTGACAACATGCCGAACTGAAGCATGTGGTAAGTTATGCTAGTTGAAATATGATCCTCTTGTATAACAATGTAAATTGAACATGATCTTTGAAAACCAACGAACAATTTCAAACGAGAGCGTAGTTATGCGACTGACGCCTACTATCAAAATCTACGAACTGATATGAACCACAGTACTTACCTACTATACGAATAGTTCCATGGAATGATAATTAAAACTAAACAACGTACGTCTATAATAAACATGTCACACATTTTGGAGATAAAAAAAAGTGTGAGTATAAAATAGTAATATTTCCTTTTCAAACATTGACTTACAACTATATGGACGTCGGGTCCGCGCTAAAAAGTGTCCGCACTTGTAAGGCGCTAAAATCGTATACAGAGCGCGACACTCCGCTTTAGTCTTCATTTGTTCTACTGACAGCGCGATACCGCGATGACATTACAATTTAAATTTCGAATAGGTTGACTTGGGACATTTTTTTCGTGGTTTTTGTATTAGACCCGTCGTCCATTTATTTGTAAGTCAATGTTTTCAAAATTAAGAATTAGGCATAAAGTTTCAACTGCATCAATCTTTATTGAAAAAAAAAAATCTAAATTAAACATAGTTAATTTTTTTAGATTTTGAGGCAAGTAGAAACAGGTCAAAATTCAAAAATTTTAACAGTTAGTTCAAACTTTAATAAAGTGAAGTTTACGAAATATACACGAACGCAAAATCAAAGTCTGACATATCTGTATTAGTAATAAAATAAGAACATTCGTTATGAAATTACCGTCGCCTTTTTTTTGTTATGAAATTAGACCTAAAATAAAAAAGTAAAATAACCGGCAAGTCTTTTGAAAAAACGCTGCAATGTTTTGGGGATGTTACTAGTGTTCAGCAAAGTGTGTGTGTGTGTGTGTGTGTGTGTGTGTGTGTTAGTGTGCGTGCGTGTGTGCGTGGGTGTGTAGGGGTAATTCTCTTATAATTTAACAAAGTAACCCAGTATGCCAGATTGTAACTATTTCTTGTAATCCATAAAGTAGTAACACACGCAAGTACAAACTAATTGTACGGACTATTGTAGTATTTTTATCACGTATCTGGTTTAAAAATGAACAGTGATTGATGTTACCACATTTAACCCTAGAGTCTAATCTTATTTGTGTATGCGTAGTGCAAATGTTTAACAAACATCAGTAATATAAAATAGCAATATATGCCTATGTATATGTCGTAACACTATTGTACTATGTTCGTCATTTGTGTGGGGTTAGTACGTGGAAATAGTGTCAAATTAATAGCGGCTCGTCGGATGCTATTCATGTCAGTTATAATGAAGTGGTTCGGGCCAAGCCATAGGCGGCCCACGAATTTAAAATCTTCCTAGAAAGCTATATCGATACCTCATACACTACGCTAACTTAATTTTTGGACCTATTCTGTTTTTATTTTGTTTCTTTATTCTTTTTTCACAAAATTCGTTTTTTTGTTTCTTTTTTCAAATTTTGTTTTTGTTTCTTAATTTTTTTTTCACAGAATTCGGGGAGCAAACTGTTAGTAAATAAATATGGCTGTTTACAAACATAACAGAAAATTAATATAATCTCTTACAACAATAAAGAGTACTAAAAAAAACCGACCTCAAAGTACGTGGAATTACATCTATTTGGCAAGTTTTATTGAAATTGGTTACCGGAAAGTGGCAAACCCGGATTCAATCCCTAGTTCGCCACTTTACGGGACTTGACACAGGAGATAATAAAAATCGGTTCTCGCTACCCAAAGTATATTGAGAGATAAAAACGCCGTGAATTGGAGAATAGCAAAATCAACCATTAAAATAATTGCTCCTTATAATAAAATTTAGGCGCTATTTATAAAAATTAATCTTCATGCGTGAATAGCCACCCTTAGCGGTGAATGACTTTCTTCAAAATTAAATGGGACCACTATGGAGGTACCCTCTTTTCAACAAAAAAAGAATCATGAAAATCGGTTCACGAATACCGGAGTTATCGCGTAACATACATACAAAAAAAAACATATTGTCGAAATGAGAACCTCCTCCATTTCTTAAATCGGTTAAAAAATAAAGTTGGCGTCGTGTTCATTGGAGGTATCGATATAATAGGTTTAAACAAAGTAACTTTAAATAAAAAAGAACTTTCTTTTAAAACCTTATATTATTTATGGTCATTTAAAAATTACACTTTAGCTCGCATTTTAAGAAAAGGCGTGAAAGTTTTAGGTTATGCACGAAAAACGCTCAGAAATGGTGAATCGTAAAGGCGTCACATTTCATCATGATAATGCCTAATTGCAATAGTTTTTAACACGTCAAAAACTATTGCAATTAGGCTAAGATGTGTTACTCATCCACTGTATCCGCTCGTCATAGCCCCCTTCAGAGTTTCACTTGTTTTAGTATTTACAAAACTCTTTGAATGGACACGATTTTCTTCTTTGAAGAGACCATTAGAGAACACGTATTCTTACGAAGCGACCATTAAACGATACGCATTTATAAGCAAGGACAGGAATCGTTATGAAAGGGGAATTTGAAAATTACCCAAAACATGGCAAAAGATTTTATAGATCAATATCGATCATAATTGATTAAAGCTTAATATATTTTTTTTTCTAATTTGGTACTAGACTGACTTCTTGACCAACCCAAATATTGTGAACAACCAAGGGAAGGAAGGCCTTTGCCCTGCAGTGGGACAGTAATGGCTGAAAAATGAAATGAAATGAAAATGACCAAAGTACGAAAGTAAGACTTTGAATTTAATAGAAGGGTTATTTGTTTTGCAATCATAAAAAAAATGTCGTTGTGCCGAAAAATTAAAACATAAACTAAAACAGATAGTTATTTATTATAACAATATTAATTACAAAAGAGATTTACCACATTTATTAACATGAACTTTGAAGTCCACGTAATCAGAGTTAAAAAACGTTACGTGTCAAAAACGTACATGTATTCCACTCGGACCGCCGCCCGATGCGAAATCCACAACCTCTTTTCGTTCTTATTACATGGACACAAAAGCTTTTTCTGAAAGGCTAAATGCGATTCCGTGTCGGTAAATATGGTGACACCCTTTACCAGTTTTGCACCGCTCTTTATACAGGATACAGAAAACCAGGCAGATCGAAAACTTTATACACTGGTTTAGCAACAGCGCCATATCACCGTTTGGAGCTGTCGTGGATGAGAATGA